AAGCCGCCATGTAAGTTGTTAAGGGTCAGTCATAACTGTTAGGTTGACTAGGTTAAAAGGTAGTTCTTCCCATGTGTCGCATATCTGTTGATATACATATACAGACGTGGACAAATTTGTTGGTTCCTTTCCACAAGAAAAAAACACAACTGTCTCTGAAATAACTTGAAACTGACAAAAGTTTAATGGCATCCCTTATTGTTTAGTCCATATTTAACACAAATCAGACTTTGGTTTTGATTATTGATTCAGCTGAATATTTTATATAATTAAACAAATAAAAATGGCATGGACAAAAAAAGATGGTACAATTAATTTAATATTTTGTGGCACCACCTTTTGCAGCAATCACTGTCAACAAGCGATCCCTGTACTTCACAATGAGATGTCTGCAATTGCCAACAGGTAGTTTGGCCCACTCTTTCAGAGCAATTATCCGCATTATCCTTCTAATCAACCTGGGGTTGCATTTTCTCTTGTATCTTGAGTAGCACAAATTCAAGGTTCCCCCGTGCCAGATGCAGCAAATCGGCCCCAAAACAAAACTGAGCCCCCTCCCTGTTTCACAGTAGGTATGGTGTTCTTTTCTTTTACATCTTCATTTTTCCTTCTCTAAACATAGAGCTGATGTATCTGGCCAAAAAGCTCTAGTTTTGTATTATCAGTACATAGTACATTCTTTCAGAAACTTTTGGGCTCTTTCTGTCAATAGTGGAGCCCTCCTGGGTCTTTTTCCATGGAGCCCATTGTTGTTCAAAATGCGACGGATGATGCGATCAGAAAGTGATGTACCTTGACCTTGGAGCTCAGCTTGAACGGTTTTGGCTGCTGTCCTTGGCTCTTTTTCTACCATCCACACTGTCCTTCTGATCAACCCGGGGTTGCATTTCCTCTTGCGTCCACATCCTGGGAGGTTGGCTACAGTCCTATGAACCTTATACTTTTTAATAATATTGATAACTGTGGTCACAGGAACCTGAAGCTGCTTGGAGATGGTCTTACAGCCTTTACCTTTAACATGGTTATCTATAATCCTCTTTCTGAGCTCCTCAGACGGCTCTCTCCTTTGCTTTCTCTGGTCCATGTTCAGTGTGGTGCACACAATGATACCAAACAACACAGTAGCATGTTCTTCCCCTTTAAATAGACTGAATGGCTGATGAAAAGCTTGAAGGCACCTGTGATACTAATTAAGGTTAAACACTTAGTTTGAAACATGACTATAATGCAAGGATAAATAGTCTCTTTAGGGGTATCACCAAATCTATCCATAATATTTTAGCATATCTTTATAAAATAAACAACAAACCATCTCTTTTCACAATTTTATTGGTTTACCCTATCACAAACCACAGGCATGCATGTATACATTAGACAATTGCTTTTAACTGAATCACTTTTCAGGAGAAATGAAGAATTGTTTCAATGAGCTGTAAGGGTACCAACAAATTTGTCCATGTCTACATGTGTGTGTGTGTGTGTGTGTGTGTGTGTGTGTATGTATGTGTCAGACAGAGAGAGACTGGGAGAGAGATCGGCAGGGCTTGAGCACAAGCAACAGATATTTCACATTAATCATGGGGCAGGGCACAGATTCAGGTGTTTTTCTCTGGTGCTGAATTTTGACAGATACCAGCTGTCCATAGTGCTGTAACTTGTGCATATATACAGTGCATATATTATTTTAAAGTCACTGTTTGTGGCTGAGTGAATTCACCTGTCTATTACTGTCAATGAAGATGCATCCTTTTTGATCAGGAAACAGATTTTCTTCTGAACATTTCACCTGGAACCACTGGAGGGTTGAGTTCAATATAACAGCTCTCTGATGGGTTGGGTCTGGGCATCTCTGGTGTCTCTGTTATCTGTTATACCCTTGCTTATTCTTTTTGTTTTTTGTTTTCGTTTCCCATGCCCATGGAGTTGAGGGGTGATACTTTTGCCGTTAGGAATATTCTTGCCTCCCTTTTGTGTTTTTTGGTTTTCATTTGTTTTTCCTTTGTCCTTTTTGCCTTTTGTTTAGAGTTTTTCATTTTGCATTTTGGATTTATGATCGAGTTTGTCTTGTCTTGCTTCTTTTTCTGGTTTTTGTGGTATTGATGGTTTGCATTTATTGCCTTTAACACTTGTAGAGTTTTTGTGGCGTTTGTGAATCTGGCATGTGGAGCAAGTTGGTTGGTTTTTTTGTGTTTGGTTTTGTTTGCTGGTTTATACTGTTCTACTCCAGTAACTCAGAAGAAAACACCTTATCTTCCAAGAGAACCAGCTGCTCCAAAGACCTTTAATGAGCCTCCAAAAGCCCTAGGTCTTGATGTCCCCTTTGGTAAGCAGAAGCACCATTTTCCATATGTGCTGGTTTTCAGTTGCACACTAGTATGGAATTTGCTCTGGATTTTATTACATCACACAACATGTACATTTACATGTATTTATCAAAGCATTCATTATTTCATTTATTCAGAGATCTAGTAAATAAAACTGAATTATACAATTTAATTCCCTTTATATATTATTTAGCTTAATTTCCAGCATAGTAATTGGAAAGTATTTATCCAAGCTTCGGGAAGAACAGCACACCAACAATAAATCACAGTGAAATCATGCAGTATGAAAGGCCAACAACAACAAAGTACAGTTAAGCATTGTGTGATGCAGACGTCTGGGTCTCAAGTCCAATCCCCCAAGACGTGTAAACCTTACAAGCAGAAATAAGTGTACAGCTATTATAATGGTGATGATGGTCAGCAGCTCAGTCTGTGGTGTCACTGCATTCATGATGAGGGACAATGCGTTGCCCTTGAGAATGCCGTTTATTATATGTCTAGTTGAGTTTTGTAAGGATGTAGTTAGACTCCTAGCTATCGGTATTTACATTAGTTTTCAATTTGCTTTTTTTCAGAACCAAAAAGTGGGCCAAATGTTTCCTCTGCCGCTAAACGAAGTGATCTACTGAAGTGTGAGTTTGTTTCTTGTTCAAAGTAGTGGAGGTTTGTTTCTCCTTGTAACTCGATTGAATATTCCGGAATGTTGGTGTGTGGTGACTGATTGTTCTCACCCTTTTACCAGACGGCGTTGAACTGACTCTGGATCACACGACGGCCCACAAGCGCATCCTCCTGTCGGATAACCTCACGAAGGCCATGGTGTCTGAGGAGCCGAGTCCTTACCCCGACGGGCCCGGCCGCTTCGCCGTGTGCTTCCAGGTGCTGGCCACCAGAGGCTTCTCTCAAGGACGCCACTACTGGGAGGTCAAGATGAGCAGCAACAATTTCTGCGGCCTCGGCCTGGCCTACAAGAGCATCGATTGTGATGGCCTCACCAGCCGGCTGGGCCGCAACACCCAGTCCTGGTGCCTGGAGTGGTCCAACTTTATTCTCTCTGCCTGGCACAACAGCAGTGTGACGGTGCTGGAAAACCGCAACCCCAGTCGGGTAGGCATCCTGCTGGACTACGATGAGGGCACCATCACCTTCTACAACGTGGCCGACAGGGCCTACCCCTTCTACACTTTCATTCAGCGCTTCTCAGAGCCTGTTTATCCAGCCTTCTGGATCTTCTCCAGTGGATCTCATATCACTCTGTGTAAGATGACCAACTGATCCGATGCCCGTGCAAATTATCCAAAGCACGCCCATAACCTGGTGCTTATGTTTTTGCTGAATACTGGCAATTAGAACAGTAGTTAGTGTCTTATTACTGGGGGTGAATAATACAAACAATGATATTATAATATACCTAATAATGAAATCAAACTTTGATTATTACATATGATTTTGTTTGCGAAATTAATGCTAACATTTACATAAAACCTTATCTTAAATCTGTCCAATGGAAAAACATGTATATCTCCAAAAGTTCTTTATTTCAGAAGTGTGGAAAAATGCATTTTCTTGTAAACTACATTGCAAATTAAACCTTAAACAACACAATGAGGCTCCCTTAGCGCCACAAACAGAAACCTGTCTTTACACAGCCAGCAGTGAACGGTTTAATGTTTTAAATGGACTTACGTGGATTGTTGTCAGCAAGGCAAATATGTCCCTGACAAAATACAATCTAATCTCACTTTATATTCACAATTAATAATGATGTTACTTATCTAGCTGTCTAGCTGTTAATGTTGTTAAAATTAGTGATATAAAGTAATCCATACAAATGACCATGAATACATATCTTAACCAGTACTATAAATAGACAGAGGAGAATTCCATCTACAGTAAAAAGTCAAAATCAAAATGTGGACATGTGCATGTCCATTGGGAAGCGACATAATGATAATTACACAGTGATGCCTTATGTTTAACGGCAGACATTTTTATGTGCATGTCCATTGGACAGCGACATAATGATAATTACACAGTGATGCCTTATGTTTAACGGCAGACATTTTTACTCTTTTATCCAAGCAGGGTGGGGGAGTGAGGCTCCAACTCCAAACTTTTGTTATGAGCTTCACTGAGAAACTGTACAGTGTCTTGTACCGGATAACATGAGTAAACAGTGTCAGTATGCTAACAGGTATCTCAAAGCTAAGCTTCCACTGCGCTGCTGAAAATGCTGTTTTCACATTCTGAGTGTGATCATCAGAAAAATTTAAATTCAAGAAAACCCTCTGGCCATGTATCCTGAGCATAACACTTGTGGTTCACTAGCTAGGGACTGTAATCAGAAACCAGATGCTTTTTTATCACTGATGTACACTGGAATGACTGATGTACACTGGAATGACTGATGCATTCTGTGATCCTGGTCATGTTGTACATCCGTAATTTGATGCAGCTGATGAGGCCGAGAATTATTTTACATCTGGAGAAATTACAGACCTCCTTCATATTTTACAGACTGCCAGTGGAACATCCAGTCGATCTGGAATCTGGTGTATTAATGATAAAGTCAAAAGCCTTAATGTTTACTTAAAAAGGTAGTTCAATAAAATAATAATTTCCAGGTTTTTATAATTATGATTTAATTGAAAGGGTACAATATGAATTGTGATCCATTCAAAAATAATAATCCCTAATGCAGTAAGTCTAATTCATTAGGATTTCAGAAAACAGTTGGGAACTGGGATTAGATTTTTGTTGTTTAGTTTATATTGAGATTTGGGTGTTGAAATGTTTTACTATTTGAGGTGACATGTCTTTGGTTCATTTAAAAGGTTCTATTCTTAGGGGCTGAGACTTAGTGGGTTCTGATGCTGTGTCTATGACTGGAAGGTTGCTGGTTCAAATCCGAGGCCTAGAGTGAGTTCATTGTTGGCTCCTTGAGCAATGCCCTTAACTGCCAGTTGCTCCAAGGACGGCCAAATACGTAAACTGTATACACTGGCTAGAAGTATCATGAGAATTCAGCACGGTGTTGGCCCCTGGTCATCATTGTCTTTTGCTTTAGCAAAACACAGTTAATAGCAATGTGGTCCAGCTGTAATACAGGGGAACTGGGCCCTTAACCCATCACTGGTCACCTTCCTCCAAACGTACTTGAGAAATCACAGCCAAATAAACAGGTGATGTTAATTTCTGTTGCCATAGTATTTGGGGGCAATTATTATACAATATTTAAAAAGTCACCTAGGGAATTTTAGAAGGAATAAAAGAATCGTAAGTTGATAGACAGAATGAAACCAATATCATGTTGTAGCTCATAATAGATGTCATTATTTGTATGCTCGGTGTCCTGTAAAGAACGTGCATCTGTCAGGGATCAATGGACAGCACTGATAATAAAGTGCACCTTGTATGGTGATTCCTTCCCAAGTCACGTTTGTGTCTGTGTTGCATTTACATTTGCGGAGCGCAGACCTTTTAACAGTGATGGGCTTGGTGTTTGTTTTGTGGCTTTACCAGTGATCGCTTCATCAACTTGCCTCTCACCTGCACTCAGATTAATCAGTTCTTACCAGTTAAAGCAGTCCTCGCCCCTTTCATCTGGGTGGCTTGAGTGATTACAGATTGCACTGTGGTGTCGAAGAACCTGTGTTTTGCCCTGGGGTTGGCCAGGCTAATTATTTTACCCCAATTGCTCCATGGGTGCTGGACCCCAGGTTCTCACCTGTCTGTCTTATGGAAAAGACGAAAAGAGAGGGATGAAGACAATACATCCATTCTATTTAAACACCAAATCATATCAAAGAGGAATAAAGATGAACCCTTCTGATTAGTTGATTCAATTCAATGGTTGAAACAATGTTGAGGGTTTCACATCTATCAGATGTTAAATTATGATTATTAATAATTTTGTTTTCGCCCCCCTCCCCACCTCCATTAAACTTATCATCCTAGATTTACCATCTGATCCCCTTACTTATCTTTTAGCATACAAGAGAAAAGAGAGAAGGCAAAGAAGGAAAGTTCTCTCTATTATTTTTTTTAGGCCAGTGGTCATTTAATTGTTATTTTTATTCAGTCACCACCTCCACCACAAAATGTCTGGCTATAGGATGCATCATCGCAACAACTGTGCAATTACTGCAAGGTTAAAGCAAAATGCTTTGAAATTACACTCTGTGGCTCAATATGTGAATGCAGGCAAGCGGAGAAAAGGCCTGAAGGCTCAAGGACTATTTTCCAAACACCACATTAAATAGTGAGGACTTCACGAGTTTAAAACACCAAAAAAACGAGCAGGGGCCTGGGACACAAAGCAGGATTTCTTGCTTAGCCAGATAACTTGTCAGATTTCACGTAGTTTGGACTAAATGTAAATGAATGAAGATAAAGTCCATTTAAACTGGGGGACCTTAAATCTGACAAGTTTTCTGGCTAAGCAAGAAATCCTGCTTTGCCATACAGGGCCCAGAGGTGGAGAAACTCACAAAACGACCAACACGAACCAAAACACAAACAAAAACACATAATATTCCATAATATCTGACAAGGCATGAACTGTATTTTCCCTAAACAGTGACATACTGCATTTGCTTACATCTATAATACATAAAACTGCATGTAATTGTCCATGTGTCCTGGAATGGGACGGCGTCTCAGACAGATGCACCCCAGCCCAGATCTCTGTGCTCTACAGTATGTGACAGGCTCCAGGCCAACTGCCACCCTGTCCATGATAGGTGGCCATTAAAATGTTATCAGCGACTTGTAAACATAACTAACCGAGATCCAAAAGGCCTCATTGCTTTCTTCAGAAGTGTTTTCATGTCATATGCGTGTGAGAGGACAGACAACACAGACATTTTATACGCAGTCATACAGAAGACTTTCATGTACTGCGCGCCAGGTGCCAACGCCAGTTGTAAACAGGCGGAGCTCAAACACGAGCCACTCAGTTTGCAAACATTCATAAATGATACATAGCTTCTTGAGATGTTATGAAGCCACACAGAAAGCATTATCATAATCGGTTGTCTTAGACATTACGAGATCATCAACATCATTGCATAAAATATCATCTCGGTGCCCCCAGCACATTAGCCCAGGTAAATTACTTAAATTCTATCCAATAACAATAAGGGAGTGAATTCATTTATTCACCCGACAGGTCATTTAAATCCTTTGGAGAGGTAGTGTTCTGCTATTTACCCATCAGTGCAGTGCAAGAACACAAACGCAGGGTATATGCCGCATACAAGCTGCACCACTGCTCAGATCAGACCCTTAATGAATGGGATTGTTTCTTTATATATCCTGGGCAGCTCAGTAGGCAGTTACCTCATACCTATAATAAGCTGGAGCGGCAAGATTTCTCCACATAAATGAATCGGTATATAATCAGAAAATATGACATGCCATACAGTGAACACAAACATATATATATATATAGACATTTCATAAATAAACTTCCTCTTTGGTGGGAATGACATTTTTTGTGTAAACTACCTTTTCTCCACAACCAAGGAGAACCAGAGTTATCTGATACTAAGTAAGAATATTATACGGAGCAGTGCAACAGAAATGAACAAGCGCAACACTAAACAGTAGCACTGAAGATGTCAGTACTCTCACTGTGGTGAGCTGCTTTGTAAGCTGTCTGGGAAGAGGTGCGGAGGTTCCCAAGTCCCAGTCCAAGGACCGGTACTGGTCTGTGACCCGTACTGAACCCTGCCACGACATGCTGGGTGAACAGTTGCCACCTGCCCTGATTATTACGGGATCACCCCACACTACAGAACAAGACGCCGTGTCCTATACAGATCCACAAAAAAAATACAAGACTCGTCCTGTATTTCCATACATTGTGTACTCCTGCTTGGAAAATGTTACTGCTGGAGCCGCTGCCTGTTTTACAGGTCTGCAGACATCAAAACGTTGGGATCCCCTAGTGTAGTATTATCTCAACCACCCAGACAGCTGAGCCCGAATCACGAGAGGTGGTGCACGCAGTGCGCAATGTACTGAGACATGTATGACTGAGACTCACAGCATGGCAATTAAACTCTCCAGTGTGCTGGCAACACCTCTACCTTTCAAAAGGTAAACACAGTGCCCTGAAGATTAGTCTTATTTGCCTTATTAGTCAGTGCTAAGCCTGGGCTATACAAAGGTAACCACTCCCTTTGCAGTCAGTCGTGGTCAGGCAAGACGATGGCCTCATGGCAACAGTGGCAAATGGAATCAGTGCAAAAATCATACCCTGACAACTGAGTACAGCACAAGTCATGATCGATCAGACCTCCCCCCCACCCATCCTCTGTGACAGAACATCCTTGGGAGTGTGCAGGCATTGGAGGGGCTGCTGAAGGGCCGGACTGAACCTACAGATGACTGGAGGGGGGAGAGGTGTCTACGCTACATATGGTTGACTAGCTCTGCTGGTTTGGCAACGGTTTTGAGGGCGTCCGTGTCAGAGCAGCTGGAGTCGTCGTCCTCCTCATCATCAGTCTGCTCCAGGCTGTGGTACAGCATGGGTGCCCGAGTCTTGTGTGTGATGGTGATCGTACACGGCCCCTGGGCCCAGGGCTCACCATCCACTTGCATGGGCATCCGGGAGCTCTTCAGCACCAACTGAGGACACAGAAACGGGCCTTTATCCTTTGCGGTCCGACAACAGAGACTGTCCTGTGAAACGCTGAAACGCTACAAAACTTCTAGAGCAGTGTTTCCCAATCCAGTCCTCAGAGTCCCATGGACAGTCCATGTTTTACCGTGAGTCAGGAGTAATAGGGAGCTGAGAGGGAGCAAAAACGTTGACCGTCTGGGGATTGGGTTGGGAAGCACTGTTCTAGAGGCTTCTTCAATGGACGGACCACAAACGTAGATCCCATAGAGACACGGTGAATAGACTCACCCGCACTGTATGAGCCTGGCCCAGGCGCACAGGGTTGGCTAGTTTGACCTGGATCTGGGCACAGTGGAAGGACCCGAACACCCCAACCACCTCCAACAGGCCGTCATCCAAACTGCGGGAGAGACGGAGAATTTGGTTGAGATCATTTTTGACCAGTGAGAGTAAAATGTGTCACAAAAACGTATATAACCCTAACCACTTGTAGTGCAGTTGAGGCACTCTGAGGGAAATGTTAGGCATGACTCCTTTTGTGCGAAGCGAAAAAAACGAACCTAGCATTCATTTAAAGAAACTCTCCTGCTGCCAGTTTAATGTTTGTTTGCTGTTATCCTGTTGAGATCCAATTCTTCCAGTACACAATAAAGCTTATTTAAGTGAACGTGAAAGCAGAATGGGCTCCTTTCTTACTCACCGCGTTGGCGGGCACGGCTCATCCCCCATTCCTTCCCAGAGACGGCAGCCACCCCCCCAGTAGCCGATGTTACAGACGATTATCCCCTCCAGGCGGGGTAGGTTCACCCTCTCCCCATCCAGCTCCAGCTACGGGCACAAACATGGCGGATGTTACGGCCAGATCATCTCAGAGCCGCCCGGACATCAAAGCTACAGCCAGGCCAAGATGGGTATTTCAGGCAGGGCTGCAGTCACAGTCCAGGCTATGTTACCAGCTGTCTAGGTCCAGCTGGAAACTCTCAACATAACAGACACTGTTCGTCACGCTTGTCCTCCGAAGGCAGCCAGCTGTTCCCTGTCGGGGACGTGGCGGTGGCCTGCAGCCTGGCAGTTCTCCAAACGCAAAGAGACACACTCCACTTAGCACTCTACCTCCAGCCCCAAGTCAGCCATAAATAGCCATCGGTGGCCAGGGGTGACATGGAGGCTGGCTACGACAAAACTGGCAAAGGTATTGCGGGAGGGGGGGCATCACCTCATATGATTTCAATTGTACAGACAAAGCAGGGTATATGTAATAATTTACCTGGGGGGGGGGGGGGGGGAGTGAGGCTCCAACTCCAAAAATGAAGAAAGTTCTAATTGCAATTTCACGCCTATTAACCTCATTGGAAAAAGGAGACGCAGTTCAGACACAAACCTCAATCTTTTTATCCAGATCTTTGCACTCCTGCACCAAGCAGTCCTTGGTCCCGTACAGAAAGTAAACTGCCTGCGTGAGTAAAATAATCAAAAATCACTATAAGGGGGTAGGAGGGCAACAGGGCGACTTACACTATAAATGAAAATCGGAGCAAGAAATTGCCTGTCAGAGCAGACAATCCGCCGATTAACAATTAAACATGGATCCAGATCGCCTGCAGTTTTACGGCATGGTACAGTCTCATGTCAAATGGCCAAGCCCCCAGCCGCACCTTGTTGATGATGCGACTGGAAAAGAATGAAGGCGTCTTCTCACGATGGGCATGAAAGTTCAGGGCCATCAGAGCGTCTGGGCCCACAGAGAAATAGTTGTTCATGGACAGAACCTGGCAGGAAAATTGCAGCACTGGTATCAATAAGAACATCTGAAAATGGAAACAAGCACAGATCTCCCGAGTTCAAATCACTGGATTAAAAAGGTATCAGAGACTACAGAAGTTCAATTTCAACCACATGTACTCACTTTTGGTTTCCGGAAATAGTATCCTTTTGAAGCCACCTGGACTTTCCACCTACGAATTATTAGCCAATCATTAACCAATAACTACTAACAAATAAGAAACTGTTCAGATGTAAAACAACCAAAGAAGGTGGAAATTTCAAGTCCAGAAAGTAAAAACCCAGACCGTGATTTTGTTTCAATCAACCCACAGAATACTCTGTGACTGAGACTCTTAATGCTCTAAAAACTAAATTATGGTTTAGATTTTTACTTTCTGGACCTGAAATTTCTATCTCTGCCAGGAAGAGCACTGCTATGGCAATTCACATTTGTTTTTTATTCAGATATCTGGCCCCAGTGTAATACTTAATCAAAACATGTAAACTGGATCAGATAATGGAAGCTGGTATGCAAAATAATATGTTAAATTAAAGAAAGTGAGATAGATGGAAAATGCTAACATGAGGAGCTAAGTACTACCAAATGATACCCAGCATAATGGCACCGATTCACCATGGGTAGAGTGACGTGGGGGTACCTGTCCATGTTGACCACCTCAGCATCCATGATGTTCCTCAACACCTGCTCGACGGGTATCTCTCCAGCATAGCCCGCCCCCCAGCCCAGCGAGTTGGACAGGTCATTCCCTGTGCCGAGGGGCAAGACAGTCACCCATGGGATAAACTGCTCTTGGCCCTAGAGAGGGACAACCAGATATGCATACTGAGTTTAGTTATTGTCTAAACAACCTGACTCATTAGGTGCAGCCTAAATGGATGCAAAAACATCATCATTAACCACTCATGCACTCGTAATAAAACTAGGAAAAATTTTCACAACAAAAAAAAAATTGCTGTTGTGCAATTGTTGTGGTTACAGTGTTTCAGTATTTGCCAGTGATACTGAACACACAGACACACACACAGGTTGGTAGGGCTGCATGATATTTAGCATGCATGTGCAATAATCCCATTGCATTTGTCTGCACTCCTGTGTGTCTATTGACACACTCGCAGCAACACCACCAACTAATTTCACACACTCTATTGGTAGATAACTTTTATTTGGCTATAGTTTATTTTGGGAAATTTCATCTCATTCTTTTGTTTTGTAAATATCACAGTGTTACTTGCAGAAATTTCACATGTGATATCATGCACTGCTATTGATTAGGTATCTATACCTAATCACCATTTATTTCTATGGGCATAATCCTAATCCGAACTATGACAACCCCAACCCAGCCCTAACCTTAACTGTAATTAACCAAACAAAATACAAGACATCTGGCATTTTTAGTTTTTTGTTTGCAGTCACAGATTTTTATAAAATTGAGTTTTCCCATGTCACGACTGAAAAAAGGGTCCCCACAACGTCAAAATAACAGGTTTTATCACATTGTGGGGACATTTGATCCCTACAATGTAATATACACACACACACACCCAACAAGCTGTAGACCTGAGTTATGGAACAGCGCCACCTGCTGTACGTGTTGCACCATCTAGTGACAATAAAGCTGAGTCACTAAGTGGGAGTGAGGATCCCTTTAGCATTAGCCCTTAGCATGAAATTCACACACTGACATGTAAATACTGGCACTGTGTAAATCCTGAAACTGTTCACTTCAACAAATACTAGTTTGCAAACATCCTCACAAACAGCCTGACCGTCCGGAAACAGCACCAGGTGCCAGACACTGTCTTTGTGCTGGTTTGTTTCGATTAGCAAAGGCTTATAGTTACAGTAAATCCCAGCGATGTAACTGGGACCAACAGCTCTGAGCACATTCTGCTATGCACGGCCTGTCTAGGGGGACTGGCTCCGGCACGCGCACAACCTACAAGACTGACAATTTTGCATCCGACAAACAGGTGCGTTAACCAAGCCCAGTGATCGTATATAAAAGCTCTGACCATGTGACCAGATGTTTACATGGCAACAGAGGTAAAGCGGTACCCAGTGGGCAGAACCCCCGGAAAGAGGGACTATGCAGGCAGGGGGACGGATCAAGGGCCGATGCTCACCTTGAGCTTCATGGTGTCGATGGCGTCCAGCACCCAGCCCACGGTGCCGTCCCCCCCGCACACCAGCACGCGCACGCTCCCCGGCGGCAGCAGAGTGCACAGCTGCAGGGCCCTGGCCGGCGGCAGCTTGGTCAGATCAAACACCTACGCAGTGACAGAAGCGGAGTCCAGGCGAGTCAGAGCAGGCCAGCATCCCCACACCGACATACAGCTGACAATTTTCAGTAGCCGCATAGACACATGCAAACGATCGAGTGATTTTTTTTTTTTAAGTATATTTGTATGTTACGAACCACAAGTTAGTCCACAAGCAAACTGGTTTAAGTACCAGGAGAAAAAAAAACTGTTGAACCCTTAACTAAAGCAGTTCAGTGGATCAGTGCCGTGAAATCGCAGTGCTGCTTCAAAGTTGACTTTGGTAAAAGTGCCAAGGAAACCAAACAGAAAGTTTACTGATGATGATGCTGTAAATGCTGCCCATCAGAATGGCAGGAGGGACGCGCTGACCTGGACGGGGTTCAGCAGGATGCGAAACTCTCCCAGCAGAGCCTCGGCCATGTTGTTGCCACTGCGCGTGTTTGCCAGGACGAGCACTGGCGTCCACCCGCTTCCACAGAGCACTGCCAACTACAGTCACAAACACGTGCAAAACACTGAAAGACCAAGCTACGCAACACACAGGAAGATCTGCAAAATCCGCTGCTGTTTCTAGCACTATCTATCTCTATAATATGCAGATAAAAAGCAAATAAACTTTGACTTTAAAGATATACGAGTGCAGGCTCCAATCACTCGTACACAAGTGCCTTTCAGTGGTGAAGAACGGAACAGTTCCTCGGTGTCCATCATTACATTTCATGGGACTTCCTGTTGACTCGTAGCCATTTAAAAGCAGTTTGGGTGACCCTTGATCCTTGCCACTGGGTTTCCGATGACTCTGATCCCACAAGCGGAAAAGTGTGGGACCGCCAGAGCAAGAGAGCGCCCCCTACCTTGACGTACTCGTCAGGGTGCCGGCGACGCAGCTTGTTGACATGGTGGAGATAATGCGGCGGGATGATGAGGCTGCGGAACTCGCCCAGGTCACAGCGGTCCTCGTCCCCCAGCCCGGCCTTACAGTCGTCATGCACCGTGGTTTGACACCAAATGCACCTGCAAAGACAGTCGGCGGTGCAGTCAGCGGCCAATAACGACGCCAGGAGACAGTGGCTCCGGTCACCTGTCCTGTACAGCCCCCTGAAATGTGAGCAGAGGTCCCACCACAAGACAACAGAGCCGCACACTTATCAACTGGTAGCAGAACAAAAAAATGTGAAGGAGCAGCGCGAGCAGACGTGACCTTGTGGATCAACTATCCTACAATGAATTATAGTGGACTTATAATAGGGAGCGACAGCTAAGCATAATGGCTGGAAGGAAGCGTAAAAACAGACCCTAAAGCACTTCTGATTCAACTTAATATTTCCCTCCCTAGAAATGTCACATTTTAATTTTTTTTACAACATTAAAGTATGTTTCTTACTCTTTTTGCCAACCTATGTTATTTCTTAAAAAAAAAAAAAAAAAAAACACCCTAAAATTTTCCGTTGAAATGCAACAAATATCCATTGGTTCAAACTATATTTATATAAAGATTTAGCAAAACAGGAATACCACCTAATCTATGGCAGTTAGTGGTCTATTGGATAAGGCACTGGCATCCTAAGCCAGCGGTTGTGGGTTCACGTCCCATCTGGGGTGAGCTGCCTTTCACCTCTTCATCAGGTTTAGATCTGTAAAATGCTCGTGCAGTTTCTCAGAACAAGATTCCGCCGTAAGATTTTACTAAATACCTGTACAACAGTTATAATTTGATACTCACTCCTTACATACTTTATTTGAGCCATATTGCACATCTCTGGTATTTCCAGTATAATTTTCTGTTCCTTATTTACAACATATATATTATAGTGATTTTTTCCCGTCATTCTTTTATTGATTTTTTTCATTATGGTAGAATCCACCACCTTTCATTTCACTGCAGGTCATAGTTTCACTGTATATCTTTCATGTGGCAAATAAAAATCCACGGATCTTTTAACTTGAATCCCGTTTCCATTCTGATCACTGCCACAAGGACTACAGTCTTGCTTGTGTTTGTGCGTACAAACTGTATATACCCTTCAATGGACAGGCATCCCTTCCAGGGTGTCTAAACTGTATATACCCTTCAATGGACAGGCATCCCTTCCAGGGTGTCTAAACTGTATATACCCTTCAATGGACAGGCATCCTACATCAGGGCTGCCGATTCCTGCTCCTGGAGATCCAGCACCCTGCAGAGCTTAGCTGCAGCCCTACTTTAACACACCTGATGCAGAGAATCAGGCCCTTCGGTGGGATCTCACTATTAGAGCCAACTTAGCTTCAACAAACTGTAGCTGAGTCTAATACCGAGATGCTACCGAAGGGCCTGATTCTCTGTACCAGGTGTGTTAAATTAGGGCTGCAGCTAAGCTCTGCAGGATGGTGGATCTCCAGGAGCAGGGTTGGGCAGCCCTGTCCTATAGGGAGATGGGTGGATAATATCAATGACAAGAATAATAACCAACTATCATAACCACAAACCAGTACAGGATTGCAACTGGTGACAATGTACCCAGCTGTGCACCCAAGTCATCCCAGGATATAGGTTTTCATCACCACTAACCTGTCTAGCTGGTTATTGAAGAATAATAGGAAACTCTGCAGAAAACTACCTTCCCTCAGCACACGTCTAAGTTCTAATATATCTGGTTAAAAAAAATCATAGATGGTAAACAGAAAAAAAAGCCTAACACTAATATGCCTGAACAAAGAGAGACATATTTTGATGGGAAGCTTCATAACATAATAGGCAGGTATAGAAAATGGATGAATGGGTAAAGAAAATTACATCAGTGATTAAACGGCCAGAGAAAATTGGGGGTCTGGATTCTCAAATGGAATTCTCTGGGCATCCAGTTTTAAAATTGACTTCAGTATGAAATGAATACGTACCATTTTAATTACATGATTACATATCCTAACCTAATTCTTACCGATCGCGTATTATTCAGAACGAATCAACATTAAACCGGCATCTGCATACGGTCCCTGAGACTCCTGAGCAGCAGTCGGATTTACCTTAGGTCGCACAGGCTGGGCTGCGTGCCGCACTGTTGCTTGCACACCGCGCAGTAACTGCAGAGCGGCACGTTGCCCCGGACCCAGTGGTGCGCCAGCGCACCGTCCTCTCGCGGCGGGGCCGCGATCTCCTTGCACTGCAGGTTGCGGTCGGCCGCGCGCAGGCACTGCTCGTCTGCGCAGAGCCCGCAGCAGTCACAAAAAGCGCCCTGCAGGATGTGCTGCGAGCACACGCAGCAATACGTCGGTTTGCTGAAGAGGTCGGTGTAGTGCCAGCCGTGTTTGCTTTTCCGGAATATTTCCCGTATGAGCGTCTTGCGTTTGGAGCGCTGTATACTGCACCACAGAGTAATGATCACCGGCGCTACCACTGCCAGGAACGTCCACCCCAGGAGTTGCCATTTGCCTTCGTCGAGTTGTTCGTTGTTTTCCTCCACCTCCATTAACCTGACTACCGTCTCCAGCAGACAGATGGCACCGTAGTAATTCGCGAATTAATGATTAAAGCTTATGAAAAACTGTTTTGCCCTTTCGCCGTGTTTTAATGTCCTGCGTAGGAAGCAGAACAGGCGCTGTCTTGCTGCATGACTCGGTATCTAGCCAACTGAATGAAAAGTGCACATTATCTCATAAGACAGGGTGGCACACGATCGAAGAACAGCCCACTTATAAGACAGTCCCAAACTGGTCCAAAAGTCACCCTTAAAACAGAAAAGGAGCTCTGCAGCATCGTGTTAACAGAAACAGCTTCAGCTACTCAGACGTTACGCACATTGACTTTCCGTACAATGCCAACGTTAAGCTAGACACGGTTAATAAACTGCACTGCGTGCTTACAAAATAATATGAAATCGATAACCACTATTCAACAACAATTTCATTTTAAGACATCACTCTCTAAATATATATACTGACAAATACCGTTAACATAAAACCATAACGTGTCGTCATCTCAAAACACCAATAGACGGAAGCGGAAGCCGTGACGCGCTGCTTCTCGCTCCACGCCGTCATGCTTCAAACCAAAAGCACTGGCGACCTGAAGCGAGCTGTCATAAATAGCCTGGCTGTGTGTCATGCTGCCACCCTGTCATGCTTAACGCAGTCTTATAAGTATCACGTGACACAGAGATAAGCGATGGGGCTTTGTTTGGAGACAAGAATTGAGATGCATATAATAAAAAATGTAGGGGAGGAACGAAAACAAATGACACCCTTAACGTCAGTATAAAGGGAAATAAGCATCTGGATGTGGAGATATTCTTGTTAGATGTGAGGAAATACAACTCGGCATTAAACGAATACAGACTGGATAAACGGAATGAAAACGCACGTTATTCCTGACCTTGTTACATCAGTATACTGCTGATCTTAAAATTATGCGTGTTTTGGTTTAACAAAGTGAGGCTCTGCATGTAAATTTCAGCTTTGCAGATCCAAACAAATGCAATCCGAAATAAACAATATCACAACACTTACTATCAGCAATTTATGCCGAGCCAGTTTTCATACTGAAAACAGATACCTGCACGCAAAAGTGTGCTCTCGCTCAGCAAGAAATCCAGTGATACAGCGCCCAGGATTTGGAAGGGCTCACTGCAAAAGATGCTGCCCTCTAGCGTCAGTTACCAGTACTACGTTTTCGCTCCTTGACATTTTTCATTCCAGCCGACTCCAGATGCTGGGTCTTTAATTTTTTTCTTTCCACAAATGTTTGCACACATCTCTTGCAGTGTTACATGCATAAACACTACCTACAAGCTCCATGACATGAATGCTGTGCCATTACTGAATGCGTATGTCGTACATTTTTATCCAAGCCATTAATTATATTGACTAACTGTAACTACAGAAATATTTATATCGTATTGTATTTCAGCTGTAAGAAGCCAGTCACACAAGCTGTCAGCCCTACCGCACAGGTATGAAACCGCTGAAGGCAAAATCTTTCAACAGCAAGGCAATGTTTTTGTAACAAAACATAGCAGGTTGAAAGAGATGAGAAATCAGTTAATTTTTAGGTGGAGAGTTCAGTGGAGACGTTTGAGAACGTTTTCCACATTGTACCATAAAAAACAAAGTTGTTTTAAGGTTACATATTATTGCATATTTTGCAGAGAATTGTAGTATTTGAGGCAGTGGCGGAATTACTCTACACTGGGTCCTGGGGCAAAAATGGACCATGCTCCCCGTTTCCAAATTCACACCTAGGTCCTGCCTATGCCAGCTGCAGCAGTTGTATATGACGAAATTTAAGTAGCCTCCAAATATTGTACCCATCATGCACTGCAGTAGTTAGTAAATTCCAGAGACGTGTTTTTTTTTTTTTCGTTAAATACATGCACCAGCAACATAGTTTGACTGCAAAACTTTTAAAACAATTACGTTTCAAAATTGCTTTAAGTATTGTACCTTTTTTTGTGTGTGTAGACTCCCACCTTAATTAGATTGTATACATTAAAATGAGAGATATAATACTTACTGGTCGCAATTGTACTCAGTATGCATGACATCAGTGGTTTAATTCTCAGTGATAATCACTCATGTAATATATCTACTATTTGATTGTGGTCTGAAACATCCTAGAAGTACAGATGTTGTTGATATGTCATCAATGGTGCAGAATTGTTCCCCAGACTCCGTTCCTGTACATTTTAAGGTTACCTACAGCAATTGCTAGACCCTTGAGGGTACAACCCCAGGGACAAACAAAGGTAAATTTTCCTGCTCCCAACATATCAACTTCAAGTACTGACTTCACTTACTTAATATATAATGGCACCCTTGACAGGCGTCATTGTAACAAGATAATGAATTTTATTCACTTCACTTTTTGATGTTATGGCTAATCAGTAGATGTCACCTTGCCTAGTGTTTTTGTAATCATAAGATGCTGTATTTATGATTTTGAATTTTTTTAGTGATTATTTGTCATTGTTGTCATACCACAGCACACAACAACAATGAAATGTGTTCTCTGCATTTAACCAATATGTGACATAGCAGTGGGCAGCTAATTCAGTGCCCGGGGAGCAGTACCTTGCTGATCAGGGATTCAAACCTGCAATCTTTCAATTTCAAGTGCAATTACCTCACCAGTGCCTTATCCATTAGGCCACTGGGGCTGGATAGATTGGTGGAGGATCTATTTGCTTTTAATGCTTTGTTTTGGAGATGAGCAAAATTGATGTCCATGATTGACAGAGTAATTCCCACAGAATTCTGGTCACAAATAAACCAGATGGACCTCTGCAGGTTTGACACGTGAGATGCTGCAAAGTAGCTCAGGCATTATCTTGATGCTTTAACAGTCCTGTCAAATTGAAATGTGATGTAACATGAGTGTAAGTGACCCCTCACCTTCATGGGTCACTTAGGTGGCAAAGGTCTCAGTTTGCCTATTTGACTTGCTGATCATCCTTATACAGTAGGTAGTGACATTTATTTATTACGTCATTCATATATGCCGTGATGTCTGTAGTGTAAGATTTTAATTAGTTTCTACTAATATTAATAAGACAAAGAAAATAAAATAGTCAAAGAACACATTGTTATAGCTATACAGTGACATAGTTATATCAGATTCTATATCTTCTTTTAAGAATAAAAATAGTTTAATAGAATGTTATAAACTCAATTATCATAGACAAATAATTTCTGTCAAAATGTCCATATTATACAATATATAATTTCATTACATATACACACATTGATTGCCAAATGCACACTTTTGAGCAAACACACTGTGCTCCATTTCAGTATTGTCTAGCCTATCGTTATTCTCTCTCTCTCTCTCTCTCTCTCTCTCTCTCTCTTTTTAACATTTTCTAAAGTTGCACTGTAGATTAAATGGTGTGAAAACAATGCGTGAGCGTCCCCGGCGGACCCGGGAGTTTATGCGAAGCTTCCTCCTTGATTCGAACCCTTGCCCGTTGTTTAGCCACGACGCTGCGCGCCTCGCACCACACACTGAGCCAGGCGCGTTTTCATAGCTCTTCTCAGGTCGGCCTTTCGGGTCACATGTTCCCTGAGCCCAGATCCCCGTGGAGATGGGGGAATGAATGGGCACTTTGTTGCTCCCCCAAAAACAACCTCTAATGGCATTCTGCTCTGAGATGGAGTGAATTCCTCCGAGAGGGGGGCCAGTCCCTAGGGACTGCATAAAAAAATCCGTAAAAGAAGAATAATGCTACAAATTTAGCATCCAAATATGCAACAAATGTATTTTTTCACCTAATTTAAAAACAGTAACAGCAAAAAACAAGAAGTAATAAGAAAAGAACAGACAGATCATAATAAATTAATTTCTCATAGTGTTGGAACAGCTGTAGGTTTGTGGATTTCCAGCAGATTTCTGATATTTTCTGCGGTCTGGTGTTCCGGCATGACGATTCTGTGTACAGATGTCAGTCTGAATCCAGGAAAGGCGTCACCATTCCGACTCATTGTTTAAAACAGCTGGTCTATTAAAACATGGACAGATAACATGAATGAACAAATAAGAGGCCACAGCACAACTTTTTGATTCAGTCATTTAGCAGCCTGATTCTTCCCTATTTCTCATTAATAAAGAGCCTCTTCTTTGCTTTATGGGTCTTCAGCCCTGCTTCTAGGAGCCTGATATGAACTGTACTTGCAGTGCACTTCACTCCATTTAATGTCTCCCGTTCTGTTTGAAGGTCACTTGAGGTCATCCTCCAATTTATGTGGCACTGCCGGATAAGTTGACGGTCATCTCCGGCATTAGAAAGTCGCTTCTACCTTCTACCTGGCTGGTTTTTGGTTGTTCCCAGTGTCTCGTGCTTCACCTTGTTCTTGAGCACTGCTGTCTTAGAAAATTTGAACCTGGAAGCAACCTGCTGTTCAGCATAGCCTTCTGCCAGCAGGAACAGGATTAAACCAGGATTTTATACAGATTTGTTTTTTAAAATAGAGTGGTCTCATTTTTTTCATGGCTGTATGTGTGATTAACCTCAGTGTACTTGATATTGACTTGTGTACCCTACTGGCCCAGGTGGCAAGTACATGTTTGCTGCTCGTGAGCACCCCCTATGGACTGGTCAAGGGCACTCATTTTGCCAGGTCCCAGCAGCCTACCGCATGTCACTCTTGATCTACAATAACTACCCTGAACTGTGCTCCTTGTCCTGTTGCCTGCAAAGGTGGGCAAATCAGCTTTAAATGTGATCACTCACACTCATCAATAATCTGAATTTTACAAATGCTTCCATCTGCCTCTGATATGCCGTAAATAGGCAGCCCTTAAATAATTATTAAATCTTCTCACCTTTCTTTGCTGTTCCATTCCACCAAAGCCACAGGGGAAGGGAGACCAGCTACCCGGAGCAGAGGGAGAAATTCGGGGGCCTACGGACAAAATTTCACCTTGCCCCTCTGCCCAATTGTCCACATCGAAGGGTCCCTGAAAAGTACTTGCCCCCCTGAATCTACCAGGGTATCCATGTCCCTACTGCAGCCCAGCTGGGGGCAGTATTTGAACACAACCCTGCTGCTAGCTTAAGGCTCCTAACAACAACTCACAACTGACTCACAGTACATACTAGACTTTGACTTTAAAAAGAGATATTCCAGTCTGTTTGAAATTGATATTTAAAAAAGAATACATTTCATTAAAAACTAAGCCATTTGGCAATTATTTAAAGCTAATTTGGTTATCCTTTGATATAATTAGAGTTATTCATACCAGATACTGAATCATGGCTGTCAGTCGTTCCAGTTTTAGACAGTTTATTTTTTCACATACTAATACTGGAAATTGGTGTGCGAGTATCTTAACTACCGGCGTTAATAATGCATCATACTCTGAGTTAAAAACAGCATGAAATATTGCAGACAGATGTAAATAGGATTTCAGATGCTGCTGACAAAACCAGGGCAAATGCATGTTGACTGAACATTTATCTTTCTTATGTGTGGTGTACTTGATAAATTGTCTTTGTCTATAGGGTAAAAGTGCAGAGTGAAGTTGATGGATGATACAACTGATCAGACAAAAAGTCCCTTGTTTTTTTGTATAGCATTTCTGTTGATATGCAAACATATATATATATATATATATATATATAGCTAATCTT